TATTACGTCATGTCGGAGTGTAGGCGTTTATAAATTATATATAAAGTACAGTGTATGTGTATGCCTTTGTGTGTGTGTGTGTGTGTGTGTGTATATGTGTATGTGTGTGTTTTCAAACAACTCTTCCGCTCGCACTGGTCCGATTCCAATGATTTATAGCTCATTCAAAATTCCTAGAAAATTTAGGAGCAAGGAAAGATTTTCATTGAGTTCAGATTCAAAGTTGCCAGATTATGCGAGGTTAAAATATATGTATATTAATATATAATACTAGCCATTACCCTTGCTTTCATGGTTCGAAGGGAGTAACTCTTATTTTCCTGTTGCATCCAAATTTACAGCTAGCTAAAAAAATTTAAGCTAGCTTAAAAGCCGCCCTATTAGGCGGCATTTAAGCTACCTCTTGTGCCGGACTCTTGGTTTGGCTGTCATCACAATAGCAAGGGAGGAGTAGATGCGATAGGCATCAATAAACTACAGAAGGACTCAAAATTGATCGCTGCATTCAAGTACCGAATTAATGTTTAAGCTTACCTTTTAAAAGTTCAGTGATAATTCTTCTGTTGCCATTTGATTTGAAGACGATTTGATGTACGTAGATCCTTATTTTCCATGCAAGTATTTTTATTTCATGGGTGAAAAGAACAGGGGGCGATTTAAAAGATAAAATTAATATAGTGTGTAATGATGGGAAAACAGAAATTAGAATTAGTTATACATTCAACATTTGAAGCTTTAGATAAACATAATAGTTAATTAAGTAAAACTTATGTTATAGAATCTATACGAAATTAGAGCTGAATTCTCCCACGAATTCTGGGATTAAAAAGCCCCTACTTTATAGGAATTTACACACTAATAGCTCAATATCTGTATTATATATTATCTACTTCCTGGCAATATCACTTTTAAGTTTAACTAATTTGCATATTGATTTTTAAAAAAGTTTATTTTATTTATTAACTGTCCTTGATTACTGTTCTTTTATTCGAGCATTGTTTTAATTTTCATATAAAAAATAGTTCTGTTTAGGAATATCGTCTTAGATAGGGCAGAAAAATGTTTTAAATTTGCATTTTACTTCAACAAATTGGAATCTATTTGTAAAACTTTCCTTAAATATAACAAGTCAATTTTTGAATGAAATGTTCATTTAAAATTTTTATTTCAAAGATTTCAAGTAGTGAATATATTTTACTTTGCGAAGCGACAGCGAGCGGATGAACACTGCTTGTGTTAAATGTTATATCGAGGTGGAAAGTTGATTGATTGATTGATTAACGGTATATGAATACCTTATGGATCGATAATGTCGAAAATTAATTTTCATTGGTTCTTGGAATTAATAAAAATATATGTCATTTCACGTTCACAATTGAATATATAGTGGATACTCGGCTTTTGTGTATATACATGTTTGTGGACATAATTGTTCGTCGATATATTTGTAGGAGGCACGGTGATGTAATGGATAGAGACTCGGATTGGAGAATCCATTGCATTCGCTTATTTGCTAATACCCTTGAGAAATGGGTAAAAATCCCCTTCTTCTCGCCTAGCTACGGGTAAATAGCAGGACAAGGAGAAAAACAACTGCGAATTCAATAACCTTCGGAGTGTTGTTTGGGAATCTGGTGGAACATTCGGCGCTTCTGCCCAAGACTTCACCGCTATAATCAAATGATTTGTGCAACTGAATTGCATGGCCTTTATACGTCGAAGTCTACAGGAGAGACCAGTGTGGACTAAAAACGGTGGCATATGTGTTTTATGTTGTAGTTTTGTCGAAGTTATATTTTGCATTAAAGTTTGATTTAAGAAATTGTCGGATATTATATGTCATTGAAGATTTCTTTCAAGTTGATTGCTTCTTAGTTTTTTAAACGGATTTTCGCTACGTATTGTTGGTAATTTCCCTATAAATATGTTTGGTTTGTAATTTTTTATATAAAAATATATTCCTGGTATTTTTACTATAAAAATGTATTTTCATACATTTTTTTGTTGACTATGAGCTGGGACCCTAACAGGTGGAACAACAGTAGTTAATAGGTGGTTCGATACTCCTCAAAACATTTAATCTATCGATAGTGGTGTGACACCATTTTGGGAAGCAACGAAAAGGAAGAAACGAAGGGAAAGAAATGAAATTTTGATAGTGACAAATGGTGAAAGGTTTCATTGCCATTGCCTAAAATTCTAAATATATAAAAAAATAACTGTGTCGCGGTGTCGGACTTATATTATCGGGAATAGATAACAGCCACTTGGTGCTGGCGAAAATCTAATTGACAAATTCCAGATCGGCTAGCTAAACTCCGGGACAGAATGGATAAACATTTAACTGTATCACGGGACTGCCTGACCACCCACGAGCTAAAGAAAACAAAGGAAAATAGGTTAAGTCTTTGTCGAGGGAAAGATATCGTTAGACAAGGTCTGGGTTTTGTTAGAATGTGGCGATAAGAGCGAAACAATATTATCGGAAAAGTTGGCCGTATTTGCTGGACGACCACCCACTCTGATAATTGGCGAAAATCTGACTGACGAAGTCTAGATGAGAATTGAGGTTATCACACTGCTGGCCGCATTGTTCTGTTGGCGGCCAGAGAAGAAGAGAGAATAGAAAAGAAAAGAAGGAAAGGAAATAGAAAAAAAAGAAAAGAAAAAAGAGGAGATAATTCTTTTTTTCTTTGAGCAAGATATTTGTTTTTAAGAAACAAGGCTAGTCTGGTCACGCCCACACTGTTGATCGACCATTGGATGAATGTTAACGAGACCCAGGCGGAGGTGATCATGTGATGCAGGGGAGGAGGCCTGCTACTACTCCTTAAAGAGGATAGGTATAAGATGTTACTGCGAAGAAGTGGGAGGATCGTTGGCGCCCTCTGAAGGTAGGGGTAAGAGAAGACTTCCAAAAATGGAAATAATAAATTTTTCCTGACCGAAAACTAAAGAAGGGGATTGTGGATTTGGAATTATCAAGGAACCTCAAAGCCCAACAAGCCCATCCCGGTTTTGGTCGGCGTCCATATAAGCAAAGTCGCAGCAAGCGAAAATCAGAGTTTCCCAGTTCAGTCCAGTTCGGATCAGCTTCCAGTTCGCAGTTGAAGTGGGCCTCGCAAAGCTGACTTCCGAACTCACCTTCAATCCAAGAACAATTTATTTTTGAAGAGCAACTTAGATCCATACCACCAAAATAAGTTTTACGACTATCGCCTGAAGACACACCAAGAACCAATTTCTTAAAGAACAGACAACTTAAGATGTTAAAACTTACCTAACAAAAACAACGTGTCACAATCCATATAGCGGGTCGGGAGATAGACGCAGTCCTATGTATCCAGCAACCAGATATAAATTATTATTATCCTTTTTTTTGATACCTTGAACTTTTGAGTTATTATTTTATTTTCTTTTACACATATTTGTGCGATACCACCCTCATTTGAACTCAACTTGCATTACGGCCCCAACAACTGATTGATTTCGTCTGCCTAAGATCAATTCACAACGTAGGTAGGCGGACTGGAGATCAACGCAGTTACTCTGGTAACCAGACGTTGGAAGCGAGTTGGGAACGACGCGGTTGATATCGAATCTAACCAGATTCCCATCCGAATCACCAAAAGGTTAGAACGTCACATTTGGGTGCCGCGACCAATACCAAGCCAGTTGGTCGTCACAGGATGGGGCAACACGACTGACGCAAACAGGCGGACGTCACGTTTGGAGCGGCGACACCCGAACGAAGCAGCGAGGACCGAGCGAAGGCTGCGGGACGTCACAGTGGCCTTTTTGCGGGATGTAGAAGCCAAATTCGGTGTAGTGAAATAAAAAGAAGATAAAGAAAGAAATCTAATTACACCACGTCGAACTGCTAAAATATTGCCATTTACAATGCCGAATGAATAGAGCACCCAATGAAGATCGAAATGACTATTCACTTGTAATTGATCTAGCGAGACAAACTTGCTAACCATTACACTGAGTCGAAGTGCCCCGTGGTCTAAATTATTGCAAGTTACTAAGCGTAGCTTACATATAGCAGAGTGTGAAATGTATTTAAACAACCAGTGAGGATCTAACTCCCTACTCAGTCGTAAGTAATCTAGCAAGACAAGCTAGTTACAGCACAACAAAATACCTAATAACCTACAATATTGTCATTTACTAAGCGTTGTTAAGATGCGACACAAAGCCGAAACTATGGAACACCCAATGTAGACTTAATTCTCTGTTAAAGCGTAACTGATCTAGCGAGACAAGCTTGCAAACGCAGCTTTACCCAAATTACACTGTTTAAAGTATAGACAGATACTGTCTTCTGTAAATCTAATGTATAACCATTCTCTGCTTCAGAACGTATTTGCATGTGATTGACAAACTTGTGAACACCTGCGTATGGCAAATTCGCAGATAACATGTTAAAAAAAAAAAGATCTATTTGTCCTTTGACTCATACATTAGAATTTGAGCAAAAGTTTCTGGCAATAGTATTAAGAATGCAAGTATGAAAATTAAATTATTCTGCCGGAAGCAATTATTATTTGCCTTCTATGTTAGCTTCGAGTAAAATATTTGTGCAATATGGACAATATTTTGAAATTGAAGTTTTATGATGAGGGACATTAAATCAGACAGAATTATTTCAAGCACTTGCGAATTGATAAATTAAATAAATTTGAGCGATTTATTAAATTAGTTACATGTCCGAACATTTATTAAAAGCAACATCCGCACGGCTGGTAATGTTCCGACTGCGTTGAAGGTGAGTGCACCTCGGGCGAGAATCGACAGTGTTTAAGCATTAATTTTTTTTTAAAAAGAAATAAAATAAATGAGATATAATTCGTGTTCAAGAAATATCATTTCCAACCGATCTTGTCTATCTATCTATCTATCTATCTATCTATCTATCTATCTATCTATCTATCTATCTATCTATCTCGCTAGCTAGCTAGCTATCCCAGTCTGTTCATATATATCTATCTCATCCT